GAATCCGTTCTGAAAAGCGCTCCCTGTCCTGAAAGACCTCCATTGTTAGGCTGGTCTCAGAGTTCGCGATTAGTCCGCGACGGATCACAGAAATCACAAGTGCCCATCAGTACTGCGAGGTGCTCTCCAATCCCGCCGCCATTTCTGCTTGATGGTGATGGTTGAATGACGACTGTTCATGATTCTACTTGTTTCATATTCAGTGTTTCAAATGTTCAAATGGAGCAATTTCTGCGATTCGCGCGAAGCGCGCGACGGATGGCGCGCTCTGACGCTAGCCTTAGTAGCAAAGTCACAGGTAGAAGTGATTGCAATTGCTTGCTGCAGGTTTACCAGCTGAGATGATGTTTCATTCGCGAGCGGGAGAGGTGTATGGCAAGTACCGCTGCTTACCACGCGCACGATTCAGGAACCAATTTTTGGCCCGTGTACCATCCAGGCTGACAACAGCTTTCGACCTCAGGGATTATCAGTTACAAGGGAGGGAAAAGTATTAGTTATAGGAGGGATAAACAGTGACTTGTACATCGGCGGCCCCGCAAGTCACTGTATCTACCAAATCGCATCTGATAAAAGCCACCCAGATTATGGATAGTATTAAAAATCGTGCTGCTTCTAGAAAAGAAATAGATGAAGACCGAAAGCTTTATTCTCAATCCTTACGTTTTTTGTTTATTGCTTCGAGTTTCAGGGCCTTTAATGTCATCTTTATGCAGCACATTTTAAACTCAAGACAATAATTCATAGGACTAATTCGAGGGTGTCAATGACCAAACTAAGATTGGCTTGGAACGGCATTTGTACCATTTTCAATACTCAATTTGTATCAGGTGCGGATCGCCGCGTCTAGCGATCTGTTAGGTGTTTCAGAAAGTTCTGTCGTTTTCTGACACTCCACATTTGGATGCTTCATTTTACTTGAAATCTAGAGAAACTGCCATCGGTATGGATACCATTTGAAGAGCTTTTCCTGCTCTATCCAACGCTTAGCTCAGCTTTGTTCTAAACATTTTCTTATAACTTTTTCAAAGCTTTGAATGCGGTATACTCGATGAGCAAGTTGGCATGACTTTTCTTTTTCTAGCTTTAAATAGAATAGACCGACAAATAAATGTGAAAAGATTCGAAGGGTGAAAATTAGTTCGGGGGGGGACCCTATCTAATCGAGGTGGAGTTGCGGAAAGACACATCATATCTAATCAAAGTAGAGCTGCGGGAAGGCACTTGATATCTTATCATATCTTTCACTGAGACCGTGGTCTACGACTGGTACGTTTACCCTTGTATTATTCTATGGCTAAAATGGTTGCTACCTTGCTGGCCTTAGCACTTTTCCTTCTTACGAAGTGCCACTGCAAGCCCCGAAGAGAGCGACCCTTTAGGGCTATCCGATTTTGTGTTGGAATCTCGAGTTTGGAACCAGTATCCCTTTCAATCATACATTGCAGAGGGGACTGTGGTTTGGACGGGGTGAAGATAGAGCCGCCGCGTCCCACAGCTTCACTATCGATTAGATTATTTGTCAGAATCGATTAGTATTTATGAAGTGGCCGCCCTCAAACCACATTAGTGGACCGTTACAAATATTAACGATGCACTTGGCCTAGATTCGCAATAAATGTGCTCAGAAGTAGTAGTTCAAAAAGTTATTGTAACGAAAGCGAGAGCCTTGGGTATGATGAGAGTGGTGGTCGGATATCGGACGTTGCCACCGATTAGCCAAAAGTTCTGATTGAGGCACTCGTGCGTAGGACCATTGAGGAGGTTCTGCCCAACCTGGGCGTATATGGTTTGTAGAGCCAAGCTATACGGAAGTAGCTGGAAAGTCCAAAAAATTTGATAGGGGCGTGCCGCGACAAATCACCAATTTGAAGGTCGTCCATCAAATTCTAGCTTGTTTTATGTGATGGAAGCGACTCGCTTTTCTACTGACCATCAATAAAAAAGGGAATATTTTCTACAACTCACGAAGCCTTGCTAAATAGATCGACGGCGATCAAGAACTACAACTTTGCAAAACTTAAACAGTGCTGCAGGAGGGTTATGGCTAACCGAGATACATGCATTTGAAATTAAGGGTCGAAAAACTACAGAACTTCCTGAAACGCCTAATAAATGAGCTCGGCCCGGTTCATTTCAGAGGCTCTTGATACGCATCGATCGAGGTCTTGGCTCCTTCGAATAGTACTGATAACATCCCCTAATTCAGCGATCTCTGAGTTCTTTCTTTCGGTGATCGTTGTGTAAAGCTTGGGATGACTGGAATTCAGTTTGTGGTCACAGTTTCAGTTGCCTATCGCCTGCATTACTTTTTAGTAGACTAAATCACATTATTTTATTAAAAAGTTGTTTTCTCGATTAACACTGCTGTTGCAATAGGTTCCACTATGTTTCTTCTGCTCTCCCGTTGCAATGTCGAAGGCAGAAGAAAATTGCCGAGGAAATCCTGATCAACGATCATAGCAGAATAGGACACACTTATTCTGTTTTTGGACATACGGAAGAGTTCTTTTCGAGAAAACTGATAACTATGCACTTTCTGAGCAATCAGCTGCAAAAGCTGTCTAGGCGCGATCCCATCACTCAGGACTGTCAGCAACCCCTGTTGTGGTTAGCTGTGAGATTTTGGGCTCATCTCCACGCTATTATTTGCCGCCGGATACCAGATACCATGTCAAACAAGGAGAAGAAAATATGCCCTCCCGTATGTGACTGTAGTATGTCCGTCATGGGCGGGAAAGGTGTAGTGACAACTGGAACTGGACGCGGTCTGAGACAAGTCCTGGATCATGTGCCGTCCAACGCCCTCCATCCCGGGTTGGCTAATCGGTCCCAGACTTGTCCGGGGTAGAGAATATTCAAAAATTCTTGTAAATCTAAATTGTGAATCGACTGCCACTGAGAGCCATTGAAAGGACCAATTCGTACTCAAAACGCCACCACATTTCACAATGAAAGTAGAACGCGTGGCGTATCCCCCAAAGGGGCTTGATCGGTGCAGATTGCTTTATCGTTTTGAGACCGTTAGCGAGACAAGAAGAGCCGTTGATGAGTTCCAGCGAAATATTTCAGGTTCGCGACTTCCTACACCTACTTATTAAAGTCCATAAATGCGATACTGAAATGATCAAGACGTTGGCGTTTCGACTCGGAGCACGGCATAAGTAAGTACCGTGAGCTTTTAATTCTTATTTTACTGTTAGTTCCAAAGCACCTAACTTGATCACTTTCCATAAAGTAACTGACTGTGTTGGGAGGTTTTGTAATGCCAAATGGGGTCACTCAATCTCGTCGTATGGTTCGGAGGTAGAATCGCAGCGAGAACCTAAGGAGAGAACTCGCAACCGGCATTTGGTTGGTGAAACTCCGCAGACCACATCAAAAGTACTATAAAAACAACGGTTATGAATATTGCAGCTTGGCTCGGAAATATGAAGTTAACGGCAAGCGCATTGTCGGCAGCAAAGCACTCACATGCGGTCACTCTGAATTGGGAGCTGGGGTACATGGCGCAATCCGCGAAGTGAGGCTGACTGAGGCTTTCCAAGTACCTTTTCTCTCACTAGTGCAAGAAGAAATTTTGCTATAATTACTAGAAGTGTACTGCAACGATTTTACGATGCTCTCGGTTTGTTTCCTACGACTGCCTTATGCTGCGTTACAAATAAATAAATAAATAAATAAATTCGAAGGCTCTATCTAAAAGAGCAGCTCGTGGTAATGGAAGGCACCCATCTTGGTCAACCAAGTAAAACGGCGCCATCGCAATATACGGGGGCCTTGTGATGACAATACATTCAAGCCGCGTAAACGTGTCGTTTTTTTTTTTTTAGAATGGGACAAATTCTTTGGCGGGGAGGAGAATCCCTACCGTGACTGAGCCATTCTCATTTCTTTCCGATGCTCCTGCTCTATCTCAGGCTTAATTAGAGAGCATGCCCCGTATAGTGTGTTAGCTAAAACTACATACTAGTTATAAGCTCTGTGCTGAGAAATCTCACTAACGTAATATAATGTTATCCTGAATTCACTTGAACTTCTTCCGATTGACTGAAAAACCTATTGGAATTTTATGGGGTCCGATCTGTGGTTGGTTTTTGAAGGCAGTGACCACGATGGCTGAAGGACCGTGAGGTTTTGATAACGACAGCGAAAACATCAGACCGACCGTCACACTCGGCGACGGACAAGCGATGGAGCGATCGCGATTGCTCCATCGCTTGTCCGTCGCCGAGTGTGACGTCGGTCTCACTGACTCTTCATAGCGGTAGAGGTGTAGTTGGTGCCGACTCTTAAGGCCCTTCCACCAATGACCTTAACTGAGACATCCAAGCCGCATCACCCTCAAACCGTTCTAATCGCTGACTTCGAAATAAGAAGCTGTGTTTTATGGGTTACTCTTGAGGTTAATTTCTTTACCTTTACCTCGATGATGCTCTGAACGTCAAGTGAATGAACCCATTCCAGAGGCTACATGAATGAGGGAAATGATAACTCATATTGGGCACCATTTGCTCAGCAACTACCGATCGCAATCGCTAAAACATATATGGACGTCGTCAATCACGACAACAGGTATGCTAATCTATGTCGGTCCTATCGGTAGAAACTGTTTTGTGTAAAGTCCGGTGCAAATGAATGATATGTTGATGGAACCAATCAGAAAGGAATAGTCACCACATAACTCTGTGCAAATTCAACACAAAAAGAAGATTTGTCGGCAGAACCAAGGTTGGAAGGGAACACTTCGTCATTGTCACCGGACAGTAAAGTAACAGTCTGGTCTAAAGACCTGTTAACAGCTCAAGAATCACTCATCATACTTCTAGTCAACATACACAGTACAGGTGTCGATTTGGAAATTTCCATAGGCCAAAGAATTTTTGAGCAAGTTGAACTATCAAATAATCCTCAAATTCAATCACAATATTGAAGCTTAGAATTCTTTGAGGAGCTTGACGTTGAGAGTAGTTTTTGTCAAAGGATAAAAAATGGAAGGCCAACTAAAAATCATTTCTTAGATGGCCTTTCATTTTTTATCGGTCATACTTCCCTATTCCCTACTTCAGAATTTCCTGCAGAACCCTATGGAGTGAACCTCGCTTATGGGAAGTAGTAGAAATCCCATTAGCGAGGTTCAATCCATAGGGTTCTGCAGGAAATTCTGTCAATCCAGAGTAGTGTTCAACAACATTGAGTGTAGCTGACTTCTCACAGTAATCTGAAGCGTGCGCACTATTTACGCCTTACTGCTCCA